ATACATATCTTGATTCATATATTTGTATCATTGCATCAACAATTTGGTATAGCAGAGTGCCGCAATAGCAACACTTATTTTCATTTTAATGTCTAAAAATTGTTGAAAATGACAGAGATGATCAGTTGGTGTCCATCAATCATGGAGGTATGACATTTTGATTGACATGAATGCACTTGGTCATAGTACTATGAACGTTGTCCTTGTCATTAGTACATACGTAATATTTATCCGGGGTTTCTTGATTATTGGACGGCTGTTCGCTAACCCGTTTGCTGTATTTTGTTAGGGTAGTGTTACTCCTTAGTCTCTGATATAGACATTAAATACCCTTGTTTGTTTTATGTGACATCGTTTATTTTCTAAATCAATTAAATTCTATTTTGTATTTGATTTGCCATGCTGTTATAATTTAAATAAACTTAAAATAAACCTGTTTATAATGTCAAACTCTGTACCATCATGAAAGAATGAATAAGTTTATTCAATTCTCTATGGGACCATTAATAAGTGATCGATAACTTTGGTTAAACAGACAAACTGAAAAAAGGCATATAAATCATGTCCTATCTGCTAAAAATCGATTTTAATTTTAATACACACAGCATCGGCAATAATATTGTGATATATGTATCTTTTCAGTAATTTGAAATTTTGTTATCTTCAGAACGATGGATGGAAAACAAGATGTGTAATTATTAAGCTCAGGCCGGGAAGATTGGATTAATTATTATATGGTTTACACTTTTGACATAAACTTAAAGATTATGTAACAATACCATAGTTTTAGACATTTTAAACTGGAAAGCTTACTGTATTAACGTAGCGACACCCTTTATTATATACGCCCCAAACAAAAAGGGTTATTGAAGATGGTTATTTTTTTAAACGTATGAAGCGAGTGTGGGCAGAGCTAATATTTTATGCTCTTTACTTCTGTGTTAAACAATTTTATTTATGTATGACGGATCTTCAATTTTGAATTCATTTGTTCTATTACAAAAAAAAAAAAAAAAAAAAAAGGATAGACCTAAATACATCATCCAGTTACTCTCTACAACGATATGTAAACTCAAGCCAAGAGAAACAAGTGGGGAGGCGTAAAAGCAAATTTTAGCACTAGTCTAACTAATATTATTCATTTATTAAAACGAACACTGGGTACTGTCGTTATGTTTATTACCTTCATCATCAGCACGCTCAATGTAAGACAGTGCTTGTCCGCCTCCTCAGAATCCTTGTTTGTCTGACTACACCTCTGATATACCTTTGAGTCTGCATGTTCTGAGTTTCAACCACATAATTGTGGGTGGTCATTAAAGTCATAATATATAGAATAAAAAAGAAAGAAAAACAAACAACAAGATTAAAAACAGCGAAGAAAAATAGAAAACGAAAAAAAAAAAAGAAATACGGACAAGCACGTTTGTAAAAAAAAGTAACAATACATAATAGAATGTCAGTTTGTGGTGGTGCCCGGATGTGGAACATTTTGGGTCAGGAATTGATTTAAAGAAATGTTGTCATTTAGTCCACTTAGAACATTTAGAGATTTACAAACATGGTATTATATTGTTTTAATTTGCTAGTTTTGGGTGTCTTCTACTGGACAATAATGTCGCTGTTGAGTGCTGTTTATTAATAGGAGGGCCCTCCAGAGCCCGTTTAGACTGGGGCCTGGAGCTTCGCCCCTCCACGTTCCCGAGACCCCAGGCGTTACGCCACTGTCATTACCTCCATCAACATGCTCAATGTAAGACAGTGCTTGTCCGCCTCTTCAGAATCCTTGTTTGTCTAACTGCACCTCTGGAATACTTAACTCAGACACGATTGGACCGATCACGCCAACGGTGATCGTGTGTGTGCTAGATATCTGTTATAAAACAGAATAAAAAATGTAAAAATTGTCCCCATAGGATTGAATCTTAAACCATCAGCTGCTTATTCGGTTACTCAATAAACTGAGCTTTGAGTCAAAGATTATATTTTCCCATTACGACATGCTTTTTCCCTAAAATTACGCAATTAAAAATAAATCACATGATAATAAATTTAGTATTAAAAAAAATACACATCCATCTATATGGACGGGTGATATTGGGCTCGTAAAAATCTACCGTGATTATAAAACGACACCTTAGCTACAGCTTTTTGCTAAGCTTATAATTGTGAACAGTAGAGTGTAAATTCGATATACTAGTATCACTGTATTTGTAATTAGGGAACGTGTTGGAGATAACCTAAAGTATTTATATGTTCCAAATCATTAAGATGTAACGCTACAGTCACTTAAAAACATTCATTCGCATTTGATGAACTCCCGTTTCATCAATTCTCTATCAGCGACTAAATAGAGATCGTGTTTTTTTTTCCAAATAAATCTTAATGGAATCCTTATAATATTAAGAGATAGCAATACAATACTCCGTGTGCGTGTACTTGGTTGTCATGACAATCCGTTTGATGATACACACATGTTTAACTGCTTACACTTGGTATATATTTCTGTTTGAATTTCGTTTGTAATTTCTGCACGTGTTGGCAGCTCATGTTTTTCTTATCACAGGCCGCCTGCAGAATGCGTCAGGCCGCCTGCAGAATGCGTCAGGCCGCCTGCAGAATACGTCAGGTATTTTCATTGGTAATTTTCGGTAGGATTTATTCATGTACAAACATAATTTCTGCATTGAGCTAAAATAACTAATTTTGAATTATTTATATGGGTCTATCTACGTACCTTATTAGCTTTTATTTGAAAATAAGAATGAGAACATTGTTTCTTTACCAGCAATAACCTAGATGCATACTTATACTGTTCCTATTATTCTTTGCATTTGCCCTTTTTAGTGGCTGATTTTTTTTTCACTTAAATAATGTAGGCCTAAATCAGGGAAAATCGTGGTAAACTTATTTGATCGCTTCAAATTTTCAATTCAAAGATTTTTACTTAATTTTTAGCACAATAATAGGTTACATTATTATCTCTTACTTTGCTAAAAATATCAATCATTTCATTAATTTATTCGACCAATATTTACAATAACAATGACAGTAAATTAAATGCTGGACAGGAGGAGCTTCAAGAGAAGTACATCATGTATTCAGCTATAGAATGTTATGTTTCTAGTTTTGAGTTTTAACAACATGACTGTGGGCGGCCATTAAAGTCAAAATATATACAATATTTAAAAAAAAAATACAGACAAACATACCCAAAAGAACAAAAAATACAACAATCTCACAAAAAGAAAGTATTCTGAAATATTGTTCTTTTGGGATACTGTATATTACTTTAAAAAAAAATTGCCTTTTTGCAAAATAAGCCTACTGTTCTTTTGCGAAATATTATTATTCTTTCTTGTTTGTTCGTTGATTGTTATGTTTTTTCTATCTTTCTTTGTTTTGTTTTCTTTGTCATGGCCCTGATAGACCCTCATTCGTACGCTGAAGAAGACAACAGAAGCTGCCAAAGAATTTTTACGTCTTATAATAATGTAAGTGTTCAGCGTTTGTTTTTGCAACTGCATCTTTATTTTATACCACCAAGACATACGTGGAATATGACCTTTAATGTCAATTTCAGATTCATTTTTCCCTGATGTCAATCATATGTGAATTTATATATGCCTATATCCTACATTACAGAGATTATAGGTAACATAGATAAAAAGTAACAAATACCCTAAGTGCCTTAATCATTACTTCTGTTAAGCAAATAACACAATAGGATGAAAATCGATTGTCTGCCATTTAAATTCAGTGGCTAAGGCGTCCGATTCTAAGGCTAAGGCCCGGGTTTCCACTTTATTAGGTAGAATAATAAAAAAAAAATGTATGTTCCGAAACCAGAAAACCATTAAATGACCTAACGGTTTCGTATCGTAACAGTTATATTACTATGCTGATAAATATTTATTTTTTCTATTAGAGCATTTTACTAAGACTAGGGGCTTGCAATGCGCATGTGCAGGGTATTAAGATTATCCTGCGTGCAAGGAATACATTGCTGTAAAATGTTAACACATTACCGCTGACAGTAGAAGCGCAAGATCAGCTTTCTTTTCTTGGTCGTATATTAGCCTGTCTAAGTTGGTTAATTTCAACTCATTCGTCAATCTTTATTTTGCTCTCCACCCTCTTGTTCACGGATACCGCTACAAGCACTGTTGTGCCCCCGTGATTGCGAAGTGGTCTACTCTGTCTTCAAGCGTGTGTCGTTTTGACAGTTAATGTAGATTATCATCGAATGGGCTTCCCAAAAGTTTCAATTATGTTCCATGAATGTGATCCGATCAAAAATTAGATCCTATCTAAAGGAACTAACGCGCAGAAAATCAAATTCTTCACGCGTTCACCGTGTGAAGGGTAAATTTATGATAAATTCATAACGAGAACACGGGCGGGTTTGCCCTGTAAACGCTGCTTGATAGAAAGTGCATTCATTAACATCGGCCTAATTAAAAGTTCATCCCCACCAAGAAGTGTCATTAAAGAAAATCGATGCATAAGTTATCAAAAAATGTAGGCTTGTAACGATGAAGAATGGATGACGATCAATGTATAAAACTACATGTACCTCTCATGTGAGAAAAAAGGTTAATCGAATGAATAGCAATATTTGTGTATGTTTGTGTCAATGTTTTAACAGTGTTGACGATAGACTCAATACACTCAGAAGGGGGGAGGTCTTTCCGACGTCATTTTTTTTTAATTGAGATATTCCACCAACCCAATTATCTTTGAATGTCGGACTGAGCCTAAGACCATACAACATCTCTTGTAATGTCATTTAGAAAGTCTGCACCATTACAACATCTCTTGTAATGTCATTTAGAAAGTCTGCACCATTACAATATCTCGGTCGATTCAACTTAAAGAAGTTTATCCAGTTAGGCTAGGCCGCCAAATATAGGTGTCAGTGTGTGGATTCGATAAGAAGGTATTGGATACCTGTTCGGTACAAAACTTTCTCTCATCCTAAAAAGACCCGGTATACTCTAGGTTTATGAAGTGGAGCTAATTATTTGCATGGTATAAACCAAAGTCAATGAGATGGGTACCACAAAAAGAATGCAGCTTTCATAGAAACATTCGCACATAAAAATGTATTTAATATCATTTAAACTGAATCTGTAGTGGAGAATTGTATTTGTAAGTTAAACCATTCATTTTTTTTTCTGATGAAAAGTGCCCTTGATATTTGGATTTGTCAATAGTATGCATTCGCTACTTTTATCTTCTCTTGTGGGCAAAAATCTGTCATTATGCTATTCGTGACCCTATGGCAACAATATCCGACTTCTTTATATGGCCTATGGCCGACTGCTTCGATAAATGACATATTATCAACTATCTTCGAATCAATAACGTGAATACTGTTTTAATCTTTATAAAATATGAGTCTGTTTCTTGAAGACCGATATACAATGTGTCCGTGGGTTGTGCTAGCCAATTTTATTATATTGAACGGTGATAAAGTAAACACTGCAAGTAAAACCACATATTACCACATATTACGTAATATTACGTAATATAGATTCTGTGAATTTTGGACCTTTGCTAAGCCCCGCCCCTTCGATATTGTTGCTAGGGTCCCACAAAGCGGCAGCAAAAAAACGTAAACTTGTGTATTTGTGGGACATGCGCATATTCCTGGATATTGAATAAGTTTCATTTACACTCTGGAATGATCCATTAAATCACTCCAGTAAAGCTGCTCAAACTTATAAGGTTATAGTCAAGGTACTGTATGCAATAGAATAAAGTAATTATGACGAATGAACAATGTTTTAATAAATGACCGAATGGTCGAAAGGGAGTAAATAATTTCGAGCCTACTCGTTAGTCACCTCTTATTCTAATGCTTTACAAAACGCACAGATCATTTTTACATAAAAAATCAATGGCCTAATTGTTTTAAACATGCCGAAACTATTGGTTTTCACACTACGACGTATGTAGACAATTTATGACGTAATGGTGTAAATAAATATAGGTCTACGTATCTTAAAGGGAGTGTTGTTAAGATATACGAGAAAACAAATCGCGATCAATGCGTAGGTGTTTGACATTTTAAATTCATATTCTTTGTTTTGCCCTTAAGTGAAGCATACATTAAGCAAGAGCATGTGTTTAAGTTACCGCTTGTGGGTAATATGCATTATTATTCCAATCTAATTAAATAATTCATTTAAACTGCTTTTGATTTAAATCAATTTTAATCAGTGTCAATTTATATACCTTCGTGTTTTCATGACTTTGATTTATCTAAAATCGATGTCTGATTTTGGTCATCATCAATCCTGTTCAACATCAAGTAACGGTTTAGATACTATCCAACATATCAAATCACTATAATTCTCTGAGATTCTTTAAGTACGAATAAAACTCATTGATAAATGAGATACATTAACTTCCTCAAATATTATGACTACTGTGATCTACCAATCTAACAAAGCGTTGATACCACTCAGACACATTGACTTCCACAAGGATTTTTATCACTGTGGTCTACCGAATCTAACAAGGCATTGTTGAAACTGAGATACACTGACTTCCACAAGGGTTTGCCCACTGTGATCAACCGAATCCAAGAAAGCGTTGATACCACTGAGATACACTACCTTCCACAAGGATTTTCACCACTGTGATCCACAAAATTTTACAAGGCATTGATACCACTTATATACACTGACTTCCACAAGGATTTTCACAACTGTGATCTACCAAATCTTACGAAACGTTTGATACCATTGAAATACACTGACTTCCACAAGGATTTTGACCACTGTTTTCTAAAGAATCTAACCACTGAGATACAAGGATTTTTATCACTGTGATTACCTACTAATCTAACAAAGCGTTGATACCACTCAGAGACACTGGGAACATATTAAATAGAAAAAAAATAATAAATAACTAATTATTTCACAATTAATTGGCGATTGGACGAATCTGAAACTAGGTTGCAACTCTCGTGGAATATGATTGTCTTTGACTTTTGGTTTTCTGACATATATTCGATGTATTTATTCAGTACCCACTTTTGACCGATAGGCCTATCACCATGCCATAGTCGTTGACAGTCATGGGGTTTGATCCGTTGATAGTATATGCTATCCCAATTAAGGTGGGTGTATATAGATTAGAATAGGCATTCATACTCATTAGGTCGATCGTACACTGACGTTAAAAGAGAGCACGACTTCAGACATAACCCATTTATACTGTAGTATAAACTGTCCCGATTAAATTTAATATATATTTAATTGTACAAAATGGCTTCACTGTAGGTCGCGGTGAAGACTTGGTTATCTGGGCGCATGCTTTTTATTCGTCTGACTGGACGACGTAGGTCATTGGGATCTGATCACCTGGCAAATGTTGATATGTTCGTTAATAATGACCGTATACCGCATTTATAAGCCCATGGGTGATTGACTATCCGAGAATGGGTAAAAGCAAAGCCTAGTTAGTTTCGGTTGATCAGAGATCTTTGTGAAAGTCAGTCTATCTCAGTGGTATCAGTGCCTTAGATTCTTTGAATGAGAGAGATCAGACGTCTATTGAAATCAATAGATCTCAATGGCAACTATGCCGTGTCAGATTCGGTGACTCGAAGAAGTCAGAGTCCAGTCCATGTTGAAATCAATGTTGCTGAATGGTATCAACGATTTGGTAGATCACATTGGTCAAAATCCTTGTGGAAGTCAGTGTATCTCAATGGTATCAATGCTTTGTTAGATTCGGTAGACCACAGTGGTCAAAATCCTTGTGGAAGTCAGTGTATCTGTGTGGATCAACGCTTTGTTAGATTTAGTAGATCACAGTGGTCAAAATCCTTGTGGAAGTCAGTGTATTTGAGTGGTATCAAACGTTTCGTAAGATTTGGTAGATCACAGTAGTAAAAATCACTGCTAAAGTCAGTGTGTCTAAGTGGTATCAACGCTTTGTTAGATTCGATATATCACAGTGGTCAAAATCCTTGTGGAAGTCAGTGTATCTGAGTGGTATCACCAGTGAAATAATTTTGCCGATGCAATCATAAAATTGTGTTTTACTATAACGTATTACCAACAATCCAAATCATTAAATTGTTCAATGCACTATTCAGGTACTTATTTGATTATGGCTTGGCGGAGCTCTTTTAAACTCAATAAACATTTTTTTTTCTTAAGGTATGTAACGATCTTGAAACCAAATACCATTTCTAAAATAATTTGATTTATACTGATTCGTACCATCTTTGATAAAGCCACATAAGATTACCATATCATCAGCGTATATCACCTTGCAACATTAACCCCTAGTTTACCTGCAATAACTCGTATACCAAAATTATGTTGCTGTTGTACAGGTGTCAATCGTAAACCTAAGATTTTTTAACTTTATAGTTTTACCCTATCATTTAAAAATGTAACACATGTTAATAATTTCGAATTAAAATATATTTAATCAACTTACTGACCATGATGTACGGTTTAATGGTAAGGAGTGCATTACTAAAGTCTACAAATCTAAACGCAGTGATGGTTCTAGAAAATATGTTCGGAGAAAATATTGTTCACATGAATTCAACAAAATTATGTAGAACAGGATCTTATTGACGACTGAGGAAAACTAGCTAGAAAATAAATGAATATAATGGTACAGTATTTTCAACACTAACAAAATATGGTTTATTGAGCATAAGCTTCCGTTCACGCAGTGAATTTCTTCAGGTGACTTCAGGTGACTTACAAATTAAATAAAATCAATGGAGGGTGGATATTCCAAGCAAGCCACTAGCAATCTAAAATACCGGACAGTAAAACTTACAAATGGACAAACATTCTGTAACTTTGTGTCAGCATCCACAAATTTTCACTCCCACACTACTTCAAACCTCCATTTTCAAACGTAATCAAAACTAGAATAGTGAAGTCGGATGCTGACCTCGGTGTACGAGTGCATGCTGAAATTTTAAGACGATCAAAATGTATTGAGTGAAAGGATTATACATTTAACTGAAAAATCAAAATTTTATACTAATTTGCTGCTTTTACGGGGAAACAACTGAGATTGGATTATGCACCACATAAAATGATCCGTATATTTTTTAGTGTGTTCATTAACATTTTTGTTTTGCGCGTGAATATGCATTATGTCAAAAAATATCGGAAACCGTAGAATGATTTTTCACGGCAACTGCAGTGTTTTTCTAAAAAAAAAACAAATATCTAGATATGTTTCAGAATCTTGCTAATGCACAAAACACGTATTTAACTGGTAATAATGATTTATCGCAGTGCCTATTGAGAGGCCCGTGAAATATTTTAAATATGTATACATTAATACATATCCGGATAAAAATTAAACTATTATTTCTTACATGCGCAAGTGCGCATTAGCCAAATTTTGGATATTGTGTTTCATTTTAAAAATCGAGTCACTTTTCGTCCAAATCGTTTTGAATTTTAAGCCTTGTTACAATTTTTTTATTTTAAAGAATTTGCAACATCATTAGGCCTATTATTATAATAATTATATATATATATATATATATATATATATATATATATATATATATATGTTTTTATTCTGATTTATATTTAAAAATTCAAACAGTGCATTATTATAAGTACATTGGTTTATAGTTACAGGAACCTGCCTACTCCCTGAGTTGACTGTATGTGTTTGTTTTTGTATTGCTTTCTGGCAATAAAGAACAAGAACAAGAATGTTTATGTATGACTAATGAATATATATGTTTGCTCGTATTTCAAGCAACGTGTGATGGCAGATTGTACAGTTACGTGTTTAACTTGATAATAAACATTCGCCTACTGACATTATCTCTATTGATAACTCATTATATTTAGTATGAAAATAAGCTTAAGTCCGTATCCATCTTTCATGTTACTCTTGAATGTTATGATACTTAATGGAAACCCTCGGGAAGAGTTCCATCATGGGCGACACTGTGAACGCAGCTTGACAGCAATGAACTGTAAGGAGATGGGTACAAAATGAAAGATAACGAGTTGGCTAATGCATCACTATACTAACAGATTATGCATACACACACTATTACTTTTCCCATCACGAAAGAAGGATGGAGCTCTATATTGTAGTTGCATTCCATGAGAAAAAAATGCAGTCTGTGCAAAAAGGAAATTTCGAGTAAAGTATAACCAGACGCGGTTTGGGCTGCCGTCGTATACCACACGTCTCATTTCTCCACTATTTTTACTATGATCATATTTCTCTGTACAATAACCACGTTTATTGTTTTTGATTATTCATTATGGTAACTGTCCTGTCTAATTAACATAGAGGTCTACTTCGCCTCTACCATAATAATGCTTTAAATATCCTATGTCAATTTCAGGCGAACATATAAGTTGGTTTTGTTTTCTCGTCACCATCTTTTTATAATCTACTATCAATTACCGTATCTCAAAATTCGAAAATCAGTTTGCAAATAATCCAAAATATAGTTTGTCTAATCTATTGAAAATCACAAACTACAAAAGAGAATAAAAAAGACCTAAGCGAATACCAAAACAATAAACTGCTAAAGTGTTACACAATTAAAATTAAATCATTTTAATCTTAAGTTACAAGTTAGTGAAATAGAATTTCTTATAATTTATAAGAGTATCCATGTCGATCAAAATGTCATTTTCAAGTCATTACATAAGCGTGAGGGTGCTAAATGTTTAAAGTACAGCATATCCTGGAGGTATAACATTATTTTATACTTCCATGAGTATATCATATCATGGCGTTGTTTCTGCTGTTCCTGTCGTTTGCATGGTTCTACGTGGACTTGCGCGATTCACATGTTAACGCACGTCGTTTAGATCTAGAACGACTGATGTGTGAAACAATGTCAACAAAAGGATAACCTTAAAGAGGCCCTACATAATAGTTTAATACTGTCGTCCGTGTGTTTCTGCATGGACTCGTCGCCTGGCTATATCATAGCTCTATTTTACATCGTAAATGATACAGTGGCGGCGCTACCCAGAAAATTTTATTATTTATACGCCCACTTTGTTCTCGTCGGAGACCCACCCAAAATCGTACCTTGCTGCTCCTCACTCCCCCACCCCCTCCCAGAATTCGGACGCTGGCGCCGCCACTGATGATACATGAGTGCCTCTCTCGAATTCATGCCGCTCTCTAATAAGCTATGCCGCGGCGTATATTAGAGACAATTTTTGTTCTTTTTAGTCTATGCATGTTGCTATTTATCACTACAGTATTGAAGCGCCGCTCTCGAATAATCGCCGCACTTCCAAAATTCGCGGCGTCAACTGCTGGAACATTCTTGTTATAGGCCTACTGTAACCTGGTAATATCGTCTGGTAGGAGAATGTGCCAATTGACAAGGATAAATTACATAATATTTAATACGGTGTAGGCAGAAATTTTACAGCACCACAATATAATAACTTAATGGAGCAATATGCATAATCACAAAAGGCCTGTGATATAAACAGACACCATATTTATTGAATGAACAAGCAGTGGCCTTGAAAGATAGATGGTACAGACTTACCTGCATGATTAAAAAGCACCTATACTGTATGCATATTACACCAATCGACAAAGCACATTTATACTGGAGCATGATGCCATGTTCCATCATATATCGGAATGCATATCAAGTAAAAAATACGATCTATATCGACAGTTATATTTGAATTGATAGAAGAGACACAATATTACAGGCTATTTAACAAATTTATGAGAAATATGGAGATGTGGCCAGTACTCGCTACTACTAGGGTCAATGAATAATTCATAACCGCTTGGAGATGGATGGTACAATAACGTTTTACGGTTAAGATATTTTTTTTCAGAATAATGTAATCTTTATTAAGTTTCATGCCTTCGAATACAGTATTGACGTTGTCAAGGAGTGCTAGTCATGATTGTGATCTGATATGAGTTTTAAGATTACTTTCTCCAAGACACATTTCTCGTGCGAATTGTCATTTTTTTAAATATACAAATTTTGTTTAATAAGATCCAAGAATAAAATCTTGCCCAGGCTCAGTATTCTTTTTTTTTTTTGTCAATTTCAAGTTCATAATGTTCTTATTTAAAGAAAAAAAAATTATTATTGTACAGCAGTATATTACTGTTCTGTATATAACATTTTTAAACATTAATACTTAACGGTAACTAACTTGATTTGTTGTCTTTTAAAAAAAAGTTTTTAAATAAAAACCTCATTTGACATTTTACCTCAGCCTAAATTTGTTCTTATTTTGTTCTTAATTTTTCAGCAATTTCAACCTCGGTCTTCTTATAAAATGTGTTCTTGTAAAACAAGTGTATTGATTGGCCCACTTGTTCCTGTGAAGTATGGTGGAATTTCAATTATGAATTCTGACACGTACCGGTACTGGTCTACACCCAATATGATGTTCAGGCCTATATATTAAATATACAAATAAGTACTTTAAGAGCATGATGTTATGTTAATGTACGACAGATTGTCATACATAACTAAACATTAAATATGCCTATACTGTACAAATAAGTACGGTACTTTCAGAACATGAGGTTATGCTAATTTATGTGAGACTGCCATACATAACTAAACATTAAATATGCCTATACTGTACAAATAAGTACTTTCAGAGCATGAGGTTATGCTAATGTACGTAAGACTGCCATACATAACTAAACATTAAATATGCCTATACAAATACAGAGCAGGAAATAGGAGCACGAGTTTATGCTAATGTATAGGCCTGAAATGATTCCCAATAACAGCATAGTACTACTCTTGGTAAAGTCGTCGTTAACAAGGTAGTACTTACAGGCCTTTCGATGCATTCAGATCCAATCGTCGATACTAAACCAATTGTTAGCCAATAATCGAACCATGGATGATGTCTGGCGGGAGATAAAATTTTAGTTTTGCCGGGTATAACTGAAAATATAATTTGCTATATTCTAAAAGGTTAAAATCACCTTTTAAAGTGCTAAAAGCATTTTACTCACGATCATAAGCCTCAAGTAGCCTTAGCTTATAAAGAAAAAATTTAAAAACAGCAGATTTTACCGAATGTTACGGTATCTATTATTAAAAACCCCAAAAAGGCATTTTCCAAATTCGTTAATTAGGCTTAAAACACTGATATACAGAGTCTTTCAACAATGCTGATTACTGAATGTTAGACATAGGCCTATCCTTTCATTGGTTCCTTTTAAATTGAAAGACTTGTGATGTACCGTACTGTAATGTTTTTAAGGACTGAACGAGAAAAAAGTGGGCTGCATCTCCCACACAATCTTATAGATGACGTTTATATTTACAAAAACATTCATCAGACCATATTCTGAATCTATAGCTGAAGAGAATTCGAATAAACAGTAAATATAAAAGATTCCTACTCAGAGTTACACGGTCAAATCTAAGAGTTATTATGTTTCATACCAAGTACCAAGTGATCCTGATCATTACTGACTAATTTTTTGGTAGACATATCAGTCAAATCACGTGATCGATTTCTTTTCAAATTCAGTTGCCAAATATGAGATAATGGCACATCCTGTTATTCTGAAAATAATTTCAACATAATAAATAAATACATACTTGAAATACTTCGTATACTCATCTGAACATTTTGTGTACAGGTTAGCTAAAATCACTAAGCGTATTAGACACCCAACTTACAACTGTCAGTAGCCCTCTTACCAACGACCATCTTTCATAAAAAAACAAAAAAAAAACAGAATACTAAACCTAATTTTATTTAATAGCCAAGAACAGTACACCGGGAGTAATGTCGACGGAGCCTAAGGCTGCATTTAAAACTGTAACCTTTCATTTGTTTCGGTCGAGTCAGGTTTCATTCCCTCTAAACAATAGTGAGCTAGCCTAATTAATATATTTGCCTAATTCGACTACACCGCTGCTGTAATCATTAACAATTAGTCTGCTTTTGACCTACGGAAAGTGGTTGCTCCATTTTAATTGTTCTTCAATTTTCTCCTAAATCGGTTTATTAATACTACTCTGAAACTTAGATGAATACATGAATAAATATAAATGAAGCATCTATAACACAATACATAAAGACACAAATACATAAACACACACCAATACTCATCCCGATTCGCACATATTTTAGCTATGTTTGTCAGCAGTTTTTAAAACGTTATGGATAAGCACAAACGTGTCTAATAATTAAGTTTAGCAAAGGCCTATGTATAAGAGTTTATTTTATTGCCTGTGAAAACGCAGACAAAATTATGATCATTAATAATACTGTAAGTATATGGCCGGCTCAGTGGTGAATTTCTTCATTAAAACCATGAAGTATAATTAAAGCTACATGCGTGAATCAGTAGTTTGATGTTCACGCCAGTTCGGACCTAGAAAAATTAGTGCAGCTAAGGTGGCCTAGGACTTTACTCTTACTAACTATGTAAATTGTACATTTTTTAAGTTGTACTAATTTTACCAGCCAGATAATTTGTCAGGTAATGATATGTTCAGGTTCGATTACTTGATAATCTACCAACGCGTTGCGTTCATTATGGCCAACTGTACTTAAAGTTGAAAAGATATAATCTGCCAACGAGCTGTGTTCATTATGGCCATACTTAAAGTCGAAAAGATGAAATACGTAGCGTCCTTAAATGATGTCATTGTAGATGGAGACGATTGGTCGATAAGTCTTAACGTACTTAAACCGATTAATCATTGATTCTATTAGTACTTTATACCAAAATATTTAGAAGTTTCATTTCTTAAAAAGAGCAATACTTAACTGTTTCATAACACGCAAAACAAAATTCATGTACACGAGAAATCAAGCGTGACAGTTAACGACTCCTTGGGGGCGCTACGTAAGATCAATATCAAACATTATATCAGCAATATGAAACATAATGATTCAATGTAATTTTGTAGAAACAGTTTTCTATAACGTCACAATCATTCTATATAATCACTCTTCATGATACCGGAATAGGGCAAATCTGTTTGATTAGTCAGTAAGTTAAATAATTGCAAAGGAATTTGAGATTTATCATTTTAAAACGTTTGAGGTGAAAATAAAGTGAATTGATGATGCTCACCTCTTCAATATCAGGGTTCAGATCCCAGAAAGGTTATATGATCACAAATTGATCCCCTCCCCAATCCCGTCTCGTATTAGACCTACCATTACACAATGACTGTATATATAGATTTAGTGATGTAATTCCAACGCTATAATTGCACGTATTCGTCTCTAACTTAATGTCTTAAAAATCAACATTAAAAAAATCTTCTTGACAAATGACAGTTAAACAGAATAAATCACGTTTTTGTTTGAATTTGAATAATAATTTTATAATTACTTTAATAATGGTTAGTTTAAATTTTCAGCTTAGAATAAATTTGTCGGAATTATTCTATCAACGATCTATAGTTACATATAAAATCTTGAATAGGCATATTTTCTCAATTTTAAAGTTGGAAAAGCAATACTTTGGTGAACAGTGAAAAAAAAGCTATGGTATTGAGATTAGGAAATATTACGCCAATAAAATTAACAAACAAACGCATGAGCTACCAGAACAGGGATATCTGCAGGTTTAACACGATTCTTAAAGAAGAATATCAGAAAGTAATGATACAGAAACAGTTGACACACGGTACATCCCAGTAGGTAAGTATATCTCATCGGGTATTTGGAAATCAAAGCAAATGATCACAAACCAAGAACCAACAGTTTTCAAAGACTTCAACTGTGAATGAATTTGTTTCACTAATTGCCCACTGTTTTTTCCAACTGAGATAGTTTACACACATGTATTCCTAAGATGCAACTGTTTCGTTTTCCTCGACTTCGAATCATCTGGCTGATGGCATTTAAATTCATCTTCAACATCACACTTTAAAAATACACTCCCTGGCCTGATTGACACCATTGATAAGTAAAATCAATGTTACAAATCGTCACCATCATGGGAGTCATCCTAGAGTTAACGTATGCTATTACACGCGTGGTTTAACGGCTATGGTTGGCGTGAATGTAAAGTTCGTCCAACACATTTCAACATGCCTGGTTTACCGCCTAATGGTTGGCGAGTAAGCACGTACGACCAACACCTTTCAGCACGTGTGGTTTACCGCCTAATGGTTGGCGAGTAAGCACGCACGACCAACACGTTTCAACACGCGCGGTTTTACTGCACTGGTTGGCGAGTAAGCACGCACGACCAACACGTTTCAACACGTGTTTTACCGCCGCCTAATGGTTGGCGAGTACCGTAAGCATGCACGACCAAAAAGTCTTAACACGCATGGCTTACCGTCGCGGTATTAGCCAAAAGTACCTCCATGTTGTTCAAAATACTGTACTTCTCAATATCTATATATGGAATACGCCCGCCCGCCCATCGCTTGCGGACCCTAGGTTCTAGATTGGGGCTCCCACCACCCCCACAAAAAACATCATGGGTCCGCCTACGAATCAATAGCAATAGAGAACAATTGTCATAAAATTCAATCACTCGAATTATGTTGACGCAGAGAGCTATTAAAGCTTGGTTCACACTAAAGGAATTTTAATTTTTTTAAATAAAAGAAACCCAACGCATGTGTTCGACGATTTTTTGACGTGTAACAAACACAAAACGCAATTTTAAACTCACATGTTGCTCAGTGATGGCACAAGTGAGAGAATGGGAGATAGGCCTAATTATGGAA